CCCTACACTCCAGTAGATGATTATGCATCTGAGTGTCTACTCAGGCACTGCTCTTTCTGTGGCTTCTGATATATCTGGACTCTGATGCCCTGGTGTCCCTTTATCTAGTGAACAATTCAAAAAATAAATGTGTCTTCAACATGAAATCAGATCTCTTATATTCTTTGAGGTTTACATGCTTAACTTTCCTTCCTCTTCTTCAGTGACTGTCCTTCCATGCTGTGCCCCTCATATAACTCTTCAGGTTAGAGCAGGACAGCCTGGAAGTAGCTCTGAGACCACATGCAGCCTGATGGGGTATTTAAAGGCCAGGTGCTCTGGCATGTGGATGGAGAACGGCTTGGATGCGGGGCTCCAGTATTAGTTGTCTCTTGCATACAGACCACCCCAAAACTGGGGAACTTAAAACAGTGACAGTGCAGATCATCTCTTGCTTCTGTGTTAGAGAACATTTGTTCACTCAACACGTCTTTACTGAGCGCCTGGGCCAGTTAGTACTCTGGGCCTGGGGATATAGCAATGAACCAGAGGGACAAGGTCTCTGCTCTCCTGGGGCTTGGAGTTGGGTGTGTGTGTACGTGTCAGATTACACACAAGCAAACAATTCTCTGTTGAACAATCTGTGGGCAGTTGGTAAAGAGCTTTATTTCTCCTCTGCCCTCTAATCCTATCTGTTCAAACGTGCTATTGGACTAGTTGAGCCTGTTAGTTTTTTTGGGTCACCTTAAGATAATAAAAATGTGCTTTGGTCACTTTCAGTGAATCTCCATCTGAGTAGAAAAGGGAATGGGGGACAGGAGAGTTAAGGATATGATGCAGTTTGGCTCCTTCAGCTTGTGGCAGTGTTTAGGGTGATTACTTCTTCATGGGGCTTTTGTGGGCCTCTCCAACATTTCCTACTGTTCCTCTTTCTCCACAGCTCCCCTTTCATAAAACCCTATCATAATCATCTCCTCTGTAAATCCTACTTAGATGGTCCTCACCTTGCTGGGAAACATAGGATACAGTTAGCACTGAGTATGGGGGCCTCTGTCAAAAGAGAGACAGAAAGAGTCCTATTTTAACATCTTGTCACGACACAAACTAACAAAACTCCAATGTAGACAATGCCACACTGGGCAGACTGTGAGGGGGAGGTACAGAGTGGTGGGATGTGGAGTGTAGACACCTGCGTCCTATGATGTGGTGCAAATAAACATGTGCTTTGGAGTCAGATGATGTGGCTTGAAATGTGAGCTCTGATATTTATTTACCGAAGTTTTAAAAAATTATTATAAAATATACCATTTTATTATTTTTTTTAAAACCATTTACCAATTAACCAATTGAGTGCTATCAAGTGCATTCACATTGCCGTGAAACATTACTAACCATAAACCAGAACTTCCCACTATCCCTAACTGAAACTTCATACCCATTAAACAATAATTCTCCTTCCCCAAGCCTGTGGTAACCACCCTTCTATTTTCTGTCTCTATAAATCTGACTACTCTGTAACTCATCGAAGTGGAATCATGTAGTGTTTGTCCTTTTATGTCTTCTGACATTTATTTTTGCATCTGTACGTTAAGGCTAAATAATATCTACCTTGTAAGGGCATTTGGTGTGAGAGAATCACTTAGGGTATTCCTCATTATAGTGTCTGCTTTCAACAAATGTTTGTTTCCTTTAATCTGATTCATTCAGGAAAGGCAAAAGGACAGCGACCTACAGCCTAAGAGACAGTGCGCCACCTGCGTTCCGCACCCTTTGAAAGGCAGGCGGGGAGTTGGGGTGGCCCCTAGAGGAGATCTCGCGAGATTCTTAGACATGTGGTGTGAGACTTGGGAGGAAGGTTGTACTCTCGCGAGAACTCGGCTTTTCGGCCTTTGGTCTGGTGGTGTCTCTTCACATACGGTCTCCTCGGATCGCCTTGAGTTGCATTGGAGTTGGTAAGAATCAGCGGGCGCGCCTGCTTCGGTTTTGACGCCGTGGGCTGGACTGAGGCATCGTGACTGCTTGCGTGACGGGCTTGGGCCTGCGCTGCGGGGCCGGCGTCTCTCTTGACCCGCCTGGCCTGGGGCCCACCTTCTTGCCCTCTCTCTGGCCATCGACACTCTCGTTCCGGGGCCACCTCCTTCTGCCTGTTCACCTTCCTCTGGCCTCGGGTGTAACAGCTCTTTGTTTTTGATCGCTTTCGGCAGCGTCTCTTGGAGCAAGGAGGGGCCCGTTTTTCAGAACGGGCCGAGAATGTATGCATTCCTAGCCTGTTGGGTGGAAACGCAAAGACAATGTTTTTTTTTCCCTCCCTCTGTGTGCCAACATAGCCTCATGTAATTCTCCCAGCAATCCCTAGAGGTGGCTTGATTATCTCCTTTTTACTGATAAGCATAGCGATGCTTGCTCATTCATTGATTCATTCTACCTACAATAAATAGTATTGTCTGCTAATTTTTTTGTGAATCAGCACAAATTCTCTAAGTGCCAAGTTCACCAGTATGTCTTTAGGGACGATCACAGTATGTGTCAGCTTAGGTACTCAATAAATATTTGTTGAATGAATACATAAAATCCTAGTAACTAAATGTAACAATTTGATTTATTGAAGCAGTGAATAGCTAACAAAATAGATTAAAACTTTTTTCTTGTCTGTTTGGTCATAGATAAGAAGTTAAGCCTTTTAATACTTGGACGAGTACAGATTTCATAAAAACATAATGTTCGGTATATATTGACTTTTATTTTGGCATTATTGCTAGTCCCTCAGGCTTTAGAGGAGGGAAAATATTTTATTGCTTGTTTACTTATGTGGGGAAAACCACAAGATATTTATCATATAAAATCAGGGATAAAGTGGTATTACTTTGATGGTAAGTAAATAACATGTTTTTCTATACTTGACTATATTATGATGAGAACTTTCAAGTTGAAGATAGGGCAGGACCCCAATTCTGAAAGCCTACCAAACTTCTGTGATATCAGCTGGAATTTATGTGGCACTGCAAAATCTGAGAAAAATCTGCTGCTGTAGATCCAGTAATGTTTTCCCTTTAACTGACAAACTTGCAGGTGCTTGTGGATCTGTTTAGCTGAACCTTGACTGGTCTAGCATCAAGACAGACTTTATCTCAGTGTCTATCCTGGAATCATGGTTTCGGTGGCAACACCCTTGCCAGTTTTGTCTTGTTTGAAAAAACTAAAAGTAATAGTTATGTTAGAAACATTTCCGCTTCTGAAAAACCTTCCTGAATTACTGCAGGCCTTAGTGGGACAGCAAGTTGATTATCTATGTTTAAAGCAGAATTATACCATACTTATTGTGGCTGGTCTTAATTTAAGCATTTATCATTTATTCATCCACTTCCCAAAGATGTATTAAGCCTCTGTTGAGTTTAGGGCCACAAAATCGCACAACTCCAGGGACACCATTCTCTTTATGTCAGTTCAGTAGAGCACATGTGCAGGGGGTTGCCAGGATACTGATACCAGGCTGTCTGCTTAGTGTTAGGGTCTACAAAGCCAAATAAGATGTGGTTCCTTCTCCTGGGGAGCTCTCAGGCTGAGGAGGAAGACATGTAACAGGGTAACATGTTATAGATAACATTCGTTACAGGAGTCATACTGGAAACATACAGATTGCAGTGGGCCAGAGGAAGCAACAGCTAACTCTGTTGGCCAAAACTATTGAGGAATGGTGTGCTTGGTCAGTAAAGACTTAGTAGTGGCTGTGACTTGAGCATAGTCAGAAAAGTGGACAGCTGGGGAGCAGGGAAGGAACTGGCATTGCTGGCAGAGAGCTGGGAGAACCAAGCTGTACAAGGTGAACCAACCTTGACTATGCATGGAACAGCTAGCTGTCTGGCAGATCATGGTTTGGGAGCTACTCCGGGGAGACTATGGGAGAGTCAGGCTAAAGCCAGAAAATAGAGAACTTTATTGCTCTTATAAGAAATTTGGACTGTATCCTGTTAGGCAAGGGTGGAGTCATTGGAGAGTTTTTTATGCTCTCTTTAGATGAGATGATCTACTAGGAAATAGATGGTTCTCTTGTTTTGAGACAGCATAGAAATCTTGAAGCAGAAGAGAGGTAAAATGCTTTATAAAATTTTCCCCTTTAGAACCTAAACATTTTATAAGGATCCAGGGGCAAATAATGCAGCTTAAGGAAGTAAACAGGTGCCTGCAAAGTGGTCTGAATGCAGAATTCTAAAAGATTTTTATGATTTTCCCCAGTCTTTTTATATTTATGCCAAATTTAATAAATTACATCATTATTGTAATGTAACAGCTAAAGTTGGCATAAGCTGACCTGGTAATTGTACAACTGGCAATTCAAATGAGGGAGAGCTGGAGCATTTCGTGTGCTGAAGCGTTGGTCAGGGTCTTTTAAAGAAGGCATAGAGACCATTGGTTATGTAGGTGATGGTCAACAAAGTTTCAACTGATTTCTATTGTGACTATTTTATAAGGGCACATAAAAGAGTGATGAAAGTTCTTGGCATTAGTTATATTTTAATATACTGAAAATTCTTCCTTTCTAGCCATTGACTTAAAGTACAAAGGAGGCCATAAAATTTTTACTTTTCATTATTGAAGTATGTCTTGTGGTTTTTTATTTTTTGTAACTTAAAATATGTTATCCAATGAAAATATTTTGAATTAAGAAATCGTTTTCTCATTATTTTTGATAAGGAATGTCTGAATCGGATCCCAGCAACTGTGCATATAAAGCAGGCACCTTCACAAACTGTTTGTGTGAAATCTGAAGGGTGCTTGAGGGTGATGGCTTTTAGTGTTCACTTTGTTTTTTGTCATGTGATTTTGCTTAACTTTTACTATATACAAACTAGCTTCATATGCATAGACAAGAGCAAGTATTTTACATTTAAAAAATTAATTGAAAGAGAATGAGTGATGTCTGTAATTTGTCTTCTGTCCAGATTGGATATGAAGGCTGTAAGGATTATTTTTGGAGAAAGAGCACGGAACAAGAAGTACCACAAGCATGATGATCATCAGACAGGAATTACTGTGTGCCAGGCACTGCCCTAAACATTTTACATATATTAATTCATATAATTGTTGAGTTGGTTCCATTATTATTGTACTCATTTTACAGATGAGAAACTGAGGCACAAATTGGTTAAGTGGGTTGCCTAAGGTTACACAGCATCTAAGTGGCAGAGCCAGGTTTTTACCCAAATGGTCTAGTTCTTGAGTCCATCCTCTTCTATGTATTACTGCTTCTACAGGTAGGGCTCTCAATTTCACTTGTGTATTCTCGGCACCTAGTATATAGTCCCTGGCATCTGTTAGGTGCTCAGTTAACTTTTGTTGAATGAAAAAGCATCTATGAATGTTAAAGCAGCACAGGAGTGAGGCCCTGTGGCGTGTGTGCGTGCGTGCGCGAGAGAACGCGAGCGCGCGCGCGCAAAAGACAGGCAGACAGACAGAGACGGGGGACCGGGGTGGGGGTCGGGGGAGGACAACAGGTAGAGAAGTGGGTCACAGATGTGAGAAGATGTCGGAGAGCCTAAAACAAAATCCGAGGGCTGAATCCCAGCCAGGCTGACAGTGGTAATCTAAGAGGGAGTCGTAAGGTATTGGCCAGGAACATTCCAATAATAACTCGGTAAGGTCTCTGACTGTTCCTGGTTTGTTATTTCTCTGTAGTGAATAGCAGCAAAATCCTTAAATCATAGACGTCTTGACGATTTGGGGCACAGAGGGGGATGGACACAGGCTAAACGCTGGAGCAGGTAGGTGGGCCGAGGAGAGGCTGGAGAGGAGTCGCTGGCACCTGTCGGGGCTTGGCGAGCTGGCTTTATCGAGGAGGAGCTGCGGAGTGGTGGATTCAGGCGCCCAGCTCCGAACCCAGTCTGCTGTGAAGCCACGCCCGCGCCGCGCGGGAGGCTAGGGGACCTTGGGCTGCTGGGAGGGCTGAGTGCGCGCCGTGTGGGTGGAACTTTCCGCCCCGCCCTCGACGTGCGCGCTCCCGGCAGCCGGTGGCCGTAGCCAGTCGCGTGAGCGGAGTGTAACCCAGGGGCTCCGGGACGTTCTTCACCTAGATCCTGTCTAAAGTAGTCTCGGGCTTGCGGAGCAGTCGGGCAGCGGGGACCTGGCCTTCGAGGTACGTCCGGCAGCCCAGGACCGCAACGGGATCTTTGAGGGCCGTCCAGCCTTGCGGCCGTTCTGTGCGCATGCGTGCTTTGCGGTGACAGTGCCAGCTCGAAAGCTGAGCGTGAATGCGCGACTGTGGCTTCCAGGGACCGCCGAAGGTTTCGTAGGGTGACTGCGCTCTTAGAAAGTGTTGGGGAACTTGGAAAGTCTCATGAGTCACTTGGCTTTTGAATTATAAAAGCCTTACTTAGCATTAGATGGTAAAGGCCAATTTCGTGTTCAGTTTTCAGTTACTGCTTGAAAGTTGATGTGCTGGAATTGCTCGTGGTTACTTGTATAAAGTGGACAAATCTGAGCGCAGTACGCTCTGAGGTGTTAAACAATCTAAAAATATGCTGTCGTGAATTTGTCTTATTTTAAGTCTCTTCAGGCATTATCTTTGCGTGGTTTTAAAAAAATGACGGGAGAATCAGATCCTGAATTTCAGAAACTAGTCTTGATAAAGAATTAAAAGTGGGCTGAGATAAGATATACATAATCTTTACGATAATGAAAAAGCTTATTTTTTAAATTGAAGGAACATGTGAAGTAAATGTCTCAAGGTAAAATCGCGGGATTAATTATTTCACAATTTTTTTTTGAAAATTTGTACAAACGGTTTAATATACATGTGTGTGTGTATGTATGTGTGTGTATATCTATATCTCTACACCTATGTATGTAAATATATAGCGCCTCATCAAAGATAACCACATTGGCAGTTAGTATTTCGAATTTAGTAATCCACAGAACACATACTTTTCCTTTGAATTGTTTTTTAAAGGCTTGGGCTTCTAGCAATGATTTGGTTGCCACAAAATAAATAAAAAGAGGACATCTTTTTTTTGGAGAGAAGGGACAGATGGGAAGGGGGACAAACAGTGAGCTCGAATGCAGTTAGAGATGATCTCCCTGCCTTCATTCAGACAGACAAATGGAACTATGAGTGGTCATCATACAGATGTGAGATCAGAACCCAGGGCTCTTGTTCCTGTCCTTCATACTTGGCACAGGTGCTTGGAAGTGTTTTAATTACTCTGACATGCAAAGGTACTATTTATTTTGTTAGCATTATCCAAAGAGAAGGGTCTGAAAAATTGTCATAATTTACTGAGGACTGTGAAAATGGTCTGAGAATCTTAATAGAGGTTATTCCAATAGTAACCCAGAGGCTACTATTTGAATGTTAATTGGAATGATAATTTTGGAATATTAATTTTAAACTCTAGTGCTGACAAATACAAATAATTTGAGTGATAATACACTAATGGAAGAACTGGTCAGAGTGAGAGAATCCAGAACTAGACCTTAAGAACCCAAATCTACCTGTTAAGGCTGTGGACCTTTAGGTGGGTCATTTAAACTATCTGGGTCTTTGTGGCTTCATCTATAAAATGAGAGTAGTGTACTAAAGAGATGGTGAAGTGTTTTTCAACTTCAAATTGTGGTTTGTTTTGGTCACAAGAGGGTCAGAGCTCTGGAAATTTTATGGTTAAACCATATGATAATGACTTAGCTTCATCTGTGGTAAGTTGCGCAATTCTTTTTTGCTCAATTCTGAGTTCCATGATCTTCAGACTTGATAACTAGATTTGTGCAGAGCATGGTGCAAATACGACATATATAGTTTATAGAACTCTTCTTTGAGGACAGCTCCAGGTTCTTGGAGCTTTGTTTGAGGGATATGTGTGTTTCTCCCTCCTCCTTCCCCCTCTCCCAATACCTAGAGGACAGGAACCCTAGAACAGGGAAGTTTTAGAAAGCACTTAAACTTAACTTTGTCTCAAAAAATATATCTTTAAGGCAGTCAGTCCTCTTTAGAAAGTGGTAGGGCAGTAGTTTGGATTGTAAAGGTGAATATGAAAAGACATTTTTAGTCTTTCTTGATTTGAATTTTAGAATTAGAACTGATGTGGTACATTCTTATTACAGATAAGAAAACTAGCAAAAGTGTGCCTACTTGGTTAATAAATGGCTAAATGATTGTAAGTTAGAGCCTTCTCACTTCAGATCATCAGTGCTGCTTTCTGTAGTCCAAAGGTGGAGGTTCCTGAGGTCCCTTTAACTCAGCTAAACCTAATAACGGTAACAACTGCAGTATTAAAGTTCAGTGAGCAGAGGCTGGGTTAGGTACTTAAAGGCAGATAAGATCTTACTTTAATTTCACGGCAGCCCTTTGTAGCTACTGTCATTTTTTCCATTTTTTTTACCAGTGGAAATTGAGACTGGAGAAGTAAATAGCTCATGGGTGTCAAGCATGCAAATACAGCTGGAACTCTAGTTTGTCAGACCCCAGAGTATATTAACCATCATGCTTGCTACGCTGGCGCTTGAACCTGAAACAAATGATGAATCGTTGAAAATGGCCTTATGAACTAGTTAGCTCAAACAGGTCTCTTTTGATTGGGCATTTCATAAAGCTAGCTCATTGTGCTTTGAGTTCACACCCTGTGGTGGAGTTCTTGATTTTGGCTGAGGGTTTCCTTCTCACCACAGTACAAGAGGGCAAAGCATTCCACAGCTCCCTAGTTGGGATCTAGGCAATGGAAACTGACTGCCCCATGAGGAGGAAGAGGAGGGGCAGAGCCAAGGGCAGCAAAGGGACAAGCACCCTGGGACTGGCTATAAAGAAATGAAACACGTTTTCTTAGTGGCTGACAGATGGGCTGTAAAAACCTTTAACAAGATCACTGTTTTTAAGGATAACACTCATTTTAATTTGAAAACATGTGATAAGTATGTGTGTGTGTGGGCAGGGGGAAATCAGTTTTGTAACTTTTAAATCTCATCCTACCTTCTGTTCATAGATGATAAGAGGACATTCCAATTTGTGTACTTTTGCCGTATTTTGGTCTTATTTGGCAGTTGTATAGTGCTTGCAATTGAATTGCGAAGAGTTACTTGAGGGATCTAATAATACAGTCAGCACTGTATGCGTTTGAATGTCTCCCATATAATCTAGAGCTCTGGGGTTTTTGACATTATGAAGCAACTTTTTAATTTAATTTTATTGATTAAATTTTACATTGTGCCAGGCATTGTGGCATTTCAAACAACGGTGAGGACCTAAGAGTGGGAAATTTGACACAAGTGAGATTTGGCTAATACATTTGAAAGACAGCTAAACATGCCTTGCTTATATAACTAATGGAAGTGCAGAGTGAATCAGCGTGTGGTAATGTGTCACTCCAGCTCTCTAAATCTGAGCCAACACTTGTGTTACGCAAGCATTTTTCAAAGTCCCTACAGTGTGCACCAAGTGTACAGTATTGCCTATACTTAAAACAGGTGGCTTACAATATGAAAAAGAAGGCACTAAAGTAGATGCATAGAATTTTATGGCAGGAACACAATAGTGGTGGGCAGGGAGGAGGCAATATTAAGAGTATGTGTGCCAGAGTCTGTGTTGGAAGTAATCTAAGTAGTTAGTAATTGAGAGTTGGTTGGAATGATCATTTGCGGAATGATTAAAAGGTGGTTTTTGGTTGTAATTATAGTGCAATTTGGATTGTTCTTTCTTTTCTTTTCTTTTTCTTCTTTTAAAGGAGCAGTGAGCAGGATGAGTACCTCACAGGACCAGAATGGCTCCAGTAGCAGAGAACCCCTTTTGAGGTGTTGTGATGCACGGAGGGACTTGGAGCTTGCTATTGGTGGAGTTCTGCGGGCTGAACAGCAGATTAAAGATAATTTGCGAGAGGTGTGACACGTGCTTTTCTTTTGTCTTGTCTAGACTCTAGCATATGGTTGAGCATGGGCAAGGGCTTCTCAGTGCCAACCAAGAAGTTTCATCCCATGCTTCACATGGTCTGCCTGAAATGTTGATGCCTTTGATTCCAGAGGGAAATAAAGCACTTGTTAGAAAAGTCTGGAAAACCTTGTATCATCTTAGAGAATTAGTTCAGTACACATTTTTGATTGTTCCTCTGTATGGTCTGTATGCCAAGCACTGCCATCAATAAAAATATGACAAAACCAATGAGCAGTATACTGCTATTAGTGCTTAGTGTCCTTGATGCATAAAGGATGGCACTGTAGCCTGTTCCCTACCATCTTTTAACTTGGTAGTGGCATGGTTTTGGTAGTGGCATAGTTGTAAATGTTGGTCTGTTAGAGCAAGCCAGAATGAAATATGTTTATTCTATTGGTTTAATAGTATTCTGTTAGTGAGTAAACCAAGTGGTATTACATGACTTTGAAATACAACTTTATTATACAGAAAGATACGTATTAAAATAGTTTCTAATGTGGATTCTCATGGGTAATTTATAGCTGTTTTGATTTTTTTCCTTAGGATTTTTGTATTTATCCCCCTTTTGAATCACTGTTTATGCTTCCAGAAAATTTAGTGTATACTTAAACCTTCTATCCTGGTGGTCTCTGGTTACTGACATGTAGTGGTACATTGCTCTACTGAGAAAAGAGATAAAGGCTATTAAATTAATACTCTTGTCTTATTATACTTAGAAATTTGTAAAATTATAGCTTTTCAAATTATATGGAAAACTGAGGGGCATCAGTTTTACATGATATATCCTTGTATTTTCTCTTGATTACTTTAGGATACCCAAAATAAACTTGATCCTTTTAGGAGGAAGAGGTATTAAAAGAGGATGTTAGAGCTTAGGTATGCCTTTATGGCTGGAATTCTTAAACTGGGTCCATGGGACTTTGCTGGTTCCATGGGTGGTCTTTGGGATACTAAACCCTGAAATTATAGGCAAAATTTTGAGTATATGCATTTTTCTGGGATATGCTCTGTAGATGTCATTGGATAACCAAAGGATTTGTGACCTCCAAAAGTTTAAGAACCTCACTGCTCTGTGGGAAATATCATTCTTTGGGTTTATAACACTAGTAGAGCTAATATATATGTGTTTCCTAGGTCAAAGCCCAGATTCACAGCTGCATAAGCCGTCACCTGGAATGCCTTCGAAGCCGTGAGGTGTGGTTGTATGAACAGGTAGATCTCATCTATCAGCTTAAAGAGGAAACACTTGAGCAGCAGGCCCAACAGCTCTACTGGGTAAGGTGGCTGCAAAGCTATAATGTGTTGGAGTATGGTTTCTGGTTTGCAGAGACTATCTTTCCTGTAATGTAGCATTAGTATAGATCAGATAAAAGTTTACTTTCAATTGCTATTTTCTATTAACTTGGATACAGTTGGTGCTTTTAGTATCATTGTGGCTAGATGATTTCATTTTTCTTATAGTTACTGGGCCAGTTCAATTGTCTTATTCACCAACTGGAGTGCACCCAAAACAAAGATCTAGCCAATCAAGTCTCCGTGTGCCTGGAGAGGTAAAGACCCTTTTGTTTGTTTTGATTTTTGGCAATTTTGTAACCTGTTGCATGTGTTAGATTTAACATGACTTCTGCGTTCCTGTGATAAGATCATTTTGCTTTATGTATTTAATATTATACTTGGTACATGGTTAAGTTATCTACCTTTGGTAGAGATTCTTAGAAAAGTATAATCATTTCAAATAATTCACAATTTGGCTTTTGTTTTGGAGAAGTTGAAAGAGATAGTCCTTAAGATTATAGCCAGGTTTTATTTATTTTCTCCAGACTGGGCAGTTTGACCCTCAAACCTGAAGATTCGACTGTCCTACTCTTTGAAGCAGACACAACTGCTCTGCGCCAGGCCATCACCACGTTTGGGTCCCTTAAGACCATTGTGAGTAATATAGATCTCGGACGGTTCACAGTGCACTTCTTAGGTCGTAGCCTCATAGGCGGGATTAAAAGCATCGCATTTTTACTCTGAATAGTGGCTTTCTTGAGAAGTTGATAAACTAGAAATTTCAAGTTCTGAGTAAGTCATTTGACTATTAACACTGGTAGTTCTTGTAATGTGGTATTGACTGAGGGATAATTTCTAGAATTCATCTTATATATCTTTAAATACCTTTGACATATTATAAAATCTATAGCTTGAATGGTCTTTAATAAAGCACCAAACATGATTTCATTTGGGTCTTGTTAAAAGTAGTAATACCAATTCTGGCGAAGATTTCTTATGTGATGAAAATTGTACAGTAAAGAGAATTCTCAAATTTGATAACCACTTTGTAGGTCATTGAATTTAGTGTGAAGAATATTCAAATGAAATGGTAATGTTTTGCTTAATACTTTTAAAATTTAGGAATTACAGTTTAACTTTTTTGGTATAAAAGTATAATGTTAATAAACACGATTAATTTACTTTTATAGCAAATTCCTGAACACTTGATGGCTAATGCTAGTTCATCAAATGTTGGGCCCTACCTGGAGAAAAGAGGCTATATCCCATTGCTAGAGAAGGTAAGATGTCATTTTGTTTCTGATAATTGACTTATTACTTGGCTTATATTTCTTTTGAGTTTTGACTAAATATCATTTATTTGTAAAAAAAGGCACCAGTGGTAATGAGTTAGTTTATGCAATTAAAAGCTTCTCTTGAGATTGAGTGTCAGAATAGAGGTTTTATAGGTGTTGAGTAAGAGCACAAGTAATTGTTATCAATTAGTTCATAAGAAATTTTCATTAGCTCTCTGTTTGGGTTGGTTTTCTCTTGGGGATTGTTCTTATAATTCATAGAGATGATTTACTTCTAAAGGCAATACAATTATAGGTTTCTAGGTGTTTTAAGAACCCTGGAGATAAATAATAGTCCTTGTTTCATAATTGTGAAAATGGAGGCTTTGGGAAATCATTTGACTTTTGCAGATTCAGTGGCAAGCCAAGATTAGAGAGCTTAGGTCCCCTGCCTTTTCGGTGAACTTTGTACTACGTTTGACCTGCATTGTTAAGCAGCAAAATATTGTGTGATTAGCAGAAGTCAGCAGGCAGCACCACCACAGCTGTCCCTCTCAGTGAATGGCTTCTTGGAAACAAACCTGCCTGTGGTTGTGAGGCTCCTTATACACCCAGCACCAACCTCCAGGACTGGCTTACCCAAAAGCAGACCTTGGAGAATAATCAGGTGTGTTGCTGCTTTATTGTTTCTGAGGTAGATATAGTAGCAAATGGGATTAGTTACTGAGAGTATATGTCTTTATTTAGTTTTTAGTTCTAGTCTGGAAATATGTATTTTAAATAACTAGTACAATAGTGACACCTCTTCTCTATGGAAAGTTTAGAAAACAAAGAACTATGTAAAGAAATACAAACCCATAATCTCAATGTGCAGATACAACCACTATTAACATTTTTGTTTAAGTACTTCATTTTTCGGCTAGCAGATTTTTTTCACTAATAGAGCATGAATATATTTCTTCCATAAAATCTTTAATAGTATATAGTATTTCATTGATTGGCTATAACTTAAACTCCAGTTTTTCTGGATGTAAACAAAATTCCTTTAAACATCCAGGAGCTAATCATTTGTGTACATTCTTGATTAGTTCCTTAGGAGTAAATTCCTAGAAATTGCATTTCTTTGTTACAGTTCTACATACCCTTAGTGACTTTTGATACATATTTGGCTTCCCAGGAAATTGATACCAATTTATACTCCCACCAGCAGAGTATTGAGGGTACTTGCTTACCTGAAACTTCTGTAATAGTGGTTGTCATTTATGTTTTTCTCTTAATTTGATACAAAATAACCATTTTAATTTTGTTTTGAGTTTCTTTGGTTACTAAGGACGTTGAATATTTCTCATGTTTATTAGCCTTTTTTGATGACTTCTAATATCCTTTGCTCATCTTTGTCTTCTTTATTCATAGAGGCATATTATGTGGAACTAACTTATCTCTTATTTCTGTTCTATCAAATATGCTACATACGCTTCTCTTAGTTTGCCTCTAATATTTTTCAGTTTAAAACTGCGGAAAATTAGACTTTTTATGTACTCAAATATGTATTTTAATATCACAACAGAGAAATCCCTTGTCTCTTAGCTTTGTATACTTAACATTTAGAAACACTGAGAGCAATGCAGTAAATATGCAAATAGAATTCTTTCATTGTTGAATTCCAAAGCAGTCATAATGTTCTGGTGAACTAATATTGTGTACTTTTCGCGTAGGCTTCTGACAGAGCCTTTAATTTCTTCAGTAATGTGTGGGGCAACCTAAATGGCTTGGAAAACTGGCTCCACAAGAGTCAACAACAAGAAGTTCCTGAAAAACCAAGTTACCAAAAGTGTAATAGCTCTTCTACTACCAGTCCTTACTCCATTGATATTGAAAATGTTGGAGATCTGGAGTTTCTTGATCAAGATGAGATGGACCTTTCCGATTGGCTGGTGACTCCCCAGGAATCCCATAACCTAGAGAAGCCTGGGAATGGCAGCTGTGAAACCACTGAGAAGTTTAAGCTCTTGTTCCAGGTGTTCCAGGAGTCCTATAGTGTGAATGATTGGCTTTTCAAGCCTGATTCCTGTACCAATTGTCGGGGCAACCAGCCCAAAGGTGTGGAGATTGAAAACCTAGGCAATCTGAAGTGCCTGAATGATCACATGGAGGCCAAGAAACCTTTGTCCACTCCCAGCATGATTATTGAGGATTGGCTTGTCCAGAACCATCAGAACCCATATAAAGTAGAGGAGGTCTGCAAAGCCAATGAGCCCTGTACAAGCTTTGCAGAGTGCGTGTGTGATGAAAATTGTGAGAAGGAAGCTCTCTGTAAATGGCTGCTGGAGAAAGAAGGAAAAGATAAAAATGGTATACCTGTGGAACCAAAACCTGAATCTGAGAAGTGTATAGATTCCCTGAATATGTGGCTCTGTCCTTCCAGAAAAGAGGCAACAGAACAAGCTAAGGCACCAAAGGCAATGACTCCTTCTAGAATTGCTGATTCTTTCCAAGTCATAAGGACCAGTCCCTTGTCAGAGTGGCTCATCATACCCTCATGCAAAGAAGGACGACCCAAAGAAGTGCCTAATACTGAGGACAGAGCTGGCAAACAAAATCTTACAAGCTCCGTGGCTACTTCCTGGTATCCCTTTAACACAGCTGACTGGGTCTTGCCAGGAAAGAATACAGGCAACCTCAGCCAGTTATCCTCAGAAGACAAGTGGCTACTTCGAAAGAAGGCTAAGGTGGGCACAGACATCAAAACAACACCATTTGAAATACATTTAATAGATTTTTTACTTCCTTAATCCCAAACCCTGCAAGTGGCCCTGATCCTTAAGTACATTAAATGTTAAATTTGGCTTAAATATTAATTTTGGTGCCATGTTAGCAACAGAATGGAGGATTTATGATTATTTAGACTGAAATTTTTATGCATATTTCAGGTCCCCAATCCCTATCCTGCAGGAAAGAAAAAAAGCCAGCCAGTTTTATTGCTATTTATGGAAGATTTAGGGGTAGAGAAAATAGTTGTCACCTTTGCTCTGGATTATTAGAATGCTGAACATTTATATTATTCTTTAAGACACTACACTATTTGGAAAACTATTTGGAAGATGAGTTAAGCTGGTCTCATGCCTCTCAGTTGTAGCAACCCACCCTTTTTGTCTTCTTACAGGAAGTATTACTTAATTCACCCCTACAGGAGGAACATAACTTTCGCCCAGACTGTTATGGCCTCCCAGCAGTTTGCGATCTCTTTGCCTGTATGCAGCTTAAAGTTGATAAAGAAAAGTGGTTGTATCGAACTCCTCTACAGGTGGGTACATGCCACAAATGTAAATATTACAGATTTGACTGCTTGTAAATATTTTGTCTTCTATATAAATTCATACTTTGCCCACTGAACCATATTCCTATTAATGGTATGTATATTAGGCAAATGAGAGTGGGAGAGAGGGAGATCATAAAGTTTCATGTCTTTCACTTGAACTTGCTTTATGAAATAAGTAGGACATACTTGAAAGTGACCTTCAAGATGATGTAGCTATCGGGAATTTTCAGAGCCTGATGTGTGGATTCTAGTAGCATACTAAGAAACGAGTCAGTGCTTTAAGGTAGGAAGAAATTTTTTATCCTACGTGACTCTTTATCTGTGGACTTTTCTTTACAGATGTGAAGGAACGAAGTACTCGAGTCAAGCAACTTTTCTGCAGATTATCATTTCCATGAGCCAAGTGACTACAGCTTGCCAAATCATTTTGTTTCTGGGCCTGACCAGTCAGCTTAGTTCCTTTCCTTGCGTGATTTTGAACTAGTGAAGGGAAATGTCATCAAATTGAGTTACTGTGTAAGAGAAAAAGGCTGTTGATGCTGAGGTGATTTGGTTCCTTCTTACAGAAGTATTAGTTCACCACAACACTAGAAACACAGCATCTTGTATAGGTCTTTTTCATAAGCCTCCATGACTCCTTAGATTGGGTTGTTACTAGTCCATTAAAACACTGTAGTTTTAAAAATGAAATAGTTCTATAATGAAAGTGTGTTGTTATATTCTAAAGCTAGTTAACTTCCCTTTTTGATTACCCTTCTTTAGATGCTTTCCTTGTTGTGGGTTTTCTTCCATTGGTCGTAGAAATGATTCTTCAGTTTAATATATAGTATATTTCACACAAATAATTAACTTTGAGAATATAGTGATTTTTTTCTTAACCAAAATATGTATCAACAATTTTAGCAGTTTTTGAATTAATTACAAAACATTTTAGCTTACATGTCAGATTCTATATTATTCTTTTGAAAGAAATTCAGCTGCTGGCAAATTTTCTTTCTCTAATGGTTAGTGAGCTCTTTTAGAAGGGCTCTGTATTACTTCAAGATGATATTCTGGTAGTCTTAACCTTTCAATATATTTTGAAGAACTGCAGGCAAAAGAGCCCCAGTGCCAACTAATCAAAGAGCAAAAGGCAACATGTTGGAAATGCAGTACTTGAACTATTCATTATCCTAAGGGTTATTGGTGCATCCTGTGTATATGGAAGCTTAGCTTGACACATGGTGCTTTTAACTAGGAGTAAATTAAATGTCTTTTCACTGCAAGCATAGCATACCTGAACCTCTAAAAGTATAATGCAGTAAACATTTTAGTGAACAGGCCGTTTTGAATACTTGTGCCTTGGGGTGTTTATTGAAGCTTTATGAAAACTATTGATGTTTTCTCAATATCCTTAAAGTCATGTCCATGCTTTAAAAAGTTTCTCTGTAGGTGAAAAATGGGATTTATAATGTTTAAATTTTCTGAGATACCATATCTGCTTTCCAGGCCTTTAAACTATTAAGCCACTCAGCTTGCCTGTATGGTATTGGAAATACTTTTAAAGTTTGTGGTGTGGTCATCTAGAAAGCCCTTTTGGGAAACACAGCTTCATTAGAATTCTTAAACCACTGCTGAAAAAAGCCTTATTTTCTTTTAGTCTCCCCAGACACCTTTTAGACCTTTAGTAATAAAGGTAGTGGGTAAAAACTTAAGGAGCTCTTTCATTATCTTAGGTTGCAGCAAACTAGTTTTTGAGGTCAAACACTGTGTATTCCTAAACTTAAATCAATCACTGCTGAGTATGTAAGTCTTTTGCATTGATGCATTTTGTACCTTCCTCCATTAAAAGCGTAACAGCCATAGTTGTCCTGTGTATTTATGAGACTACTTTGTCACAAAATATTCAGTCACATTATGTGAATGTGATGACTTTTGGTTAGTACAGCTTAGAACATAAAAAAATTTTATATTCAAAAAAATCTATTTTATGAATCTTAAATTAGCAAATAGGTATATTACTTTCATTTTCAGTCTTTTCCTGCAAACTTTTCACATCTTTTAATTTTTTATATGTTGTGTTACAGATGACTTGCGTTAAAACTCTTTTTACTAGAGGACTTCAGCTAAGCTTCAGTACTTTACTGCCAAAGTCTTTGTTAGCAGATGCAAGCAGAAAGGCCCTACTTATGATATGTGTAACCTGCAGTACAATTTTATTTAACTTTATTTCATAGACAAGAAAACAAACTCAAATAACTTGCCCTTATTTCCTTTGTTTTCCTAGGGTTCCTTAAACTTAAAGCTCGTGTCTATTTCATCTTTTCTAATTATACTCAGTAAAGAGATGAGTTAACATACACAGAATTAAGCATGATTGTTGGACAGATTGTTCTAACACACTAATGGTATAATGGTTAATCTGAAATCTCTTGAGGTTGTTTTTGTCAGCTCTGTTGGAGAAAAATCTTAACTAAGCTGTTAATGCTGCCATAGCCCTTCATTTTAACACAAGCTTGAAAACATGATTTAGATTAGTTGGGGCAGAAAAATACACCATTTTATACTCAGAAAGATGCTTTTAAATGGAGACATCCACTGTGTTTACATTGGAGTTGACTTTGGTTCTGTTTTCTTTATTGGGAATACAGAGCAGTAGAGTTTTGGATCATTAAATGAACAAACGTGGTGATACAGTATTGACAAGCATGACCTGAATTATGAGAGTAAGTGGTTTTCCACTTCAGGGAGTAGGAGAGAACAGGTACAAGATCTTCAAAGAAGAGAACCACATTATTCGGTCACCAAAAGGTTTTGGCTTCAACTCATTAATAGCTGGAAGGAGAGCTGTCCTGGTCAACCATCCATCATCTTCACAGCAAATCGGAATCGCCACAATTTTTCAAACTAATTGTAGGTAGAAGAGAGAAAAACTTCATACTGACATTAATTGATCTGGATAACTACTAGTGTCCTCTATTCACAGGTTGGCAAAATCTTCAGAGTGACTGTTGGAGTAAGGAGCCTTTCATGTGCTCCCAGTTATTATATAATGCATAGAGGCTAGTAAGTGTTAGTCCTGCTAGGCCACCTCGTGCTACCCCTCGAAGACCACCTGGGGGAGGGAGAACAAGAAAAGATTTGTATTGCAAATGTCCTGACATCAAAGGATTAAATAAGTCTCATAAAATTGAGGCATACATTCATGTATATAAATAAGTCATCCTAAACAGGAGAATCAAAGTTTTAAATGTAATATCAGAAACCAAGACAAGTTCAGGAGATAAATTCCCTGAATCACTTGTTTAACATATATACTATTTTCATATTTAAAACCTTTTTTAAATATTAAAATATTTCTCAATCTGACTTGTTCCTATAACACTTAGAAAATATCTTAATGCTTATTATTGAAATCCCAACTAGATCAATAATTTCCTGCTAGTCATATAGTTAAGACCAGCGGTCCCCAACCTTTTTGGCACCAGGGACCAGTGCTCTTAGGTGAATCTAATGCTTGGTAATCTGAGTTGGAGCTGAGGTGGTAATGCTAGCACTGGGGAGTGGCTGCAAATACAAATGAGGCTTCGCTTGCTGGTCCACCGCTCACCTGCTGTGCAGCCACCACATTCCTGAGGCCAAAGATGGATACCAGTTCGTGGCCTGGGAGTTGGGGACCCCTGGTTTAGACTTCACTGGCACTGTCAATTGATTTAAGGCTATAATATAAATAAGGAACACCCTCTTTGGAAACAGCTTTTGGACTCTGCACAGGTCCTGCAACTATTAACTTTGAAGACTCAAGAAGTAGTGCTGATAAGATGGCTATAATCAAGCTTTAAGTGAGGTGCTGATGAAGCACTAACTCACCTATCCTCCACTTCCCTTGTGTGTCAATCTACAACTAATGAGCAATAAAGCACTTAGCATCATCACAACAGTTGAAAAATATTCAATGATTAGACAACTATTTTTGCTTAATGAAAAAATTTTTCATGTGAAAAAGGATTAGCAATAGATATTTTATTTGAAATGCAGAAACAAATGTTTAATCCGTTAACTTAAAATGGTTCCCAAGTCTAAAAGAGGAATCGGGGTACCCAAAGAAGCTTTTAAGAAGTGGCTGCTTTCTCTTAGTTTCATAAGTATGGACCATAAACCAGGCAGCCTACATTGTACCTATGAAGTAGTAAAAGGTGGAATGGAGCTGTGGTCTAGTGGTTACCTTACTAGGGGCCCTTTAGTTACAAACCAGTAGATGCTTATTAAACTGAGCAGACTTAAGATGTTTTAAATTACTGTTTTAAAAAATCAGTAAATTTTGTGAAATTCAGTGATGTTGCCAAGTTAAAACACTTCAGACCAACAATTTCTGCAATGATAGTCCTGCCAGGTGGCTTCAGCTGATAAAGGGCCACTCCTTCCAGGAGCCTCTCTAGTCTGAAGAGTTCTGATAGCTGACCTGCTTAGGCTTCCCCTATGAAATGCCCTAATTATCTTTCTTAAACAGACACAAAAAGCTATATATAGATGATGTATGCGGTTTCTGTCAAATATGTGGGAGGCGGGATCAGAAACATTAAAAATATTTAAAGTAAATGGGAGATAGCTCCTTGAAATTGACATCATCTCTGTATCACCTTGCCATAGACTAGGCAGGGCAGCTGAATTTGCAACTGTATTCAATGTGGTTGAGACATTATAAAAGCAATGTATCCTCAATCAGCTAATTTAAAACAGTCTGCTCAGTTTAATAAGGATCTACCTCATATCTTTTACCAGTAAGTCAACAAAAAGTTGTATGGGCAGAAAGTAAACTATAATTAGACCAAATTCCTAAAACGGAAAAAATAAACTACGAAGTATAGAATAAATGCTAAGCTATCTGCAACAGCATTACTATGGCTCAGTGAGACCTAAACTTTCAGTGTAATGAGGGTTCTTTCAATCAGGTTATAAAAATTTAATACTCGAACCCATTCTGAGTCAACAAAGCAAAAGCTAAGGTGGCCTCACTGCTGTTTATTAGTAGAAAAATGATGGCGGGTATGTAATTGAAAGTACACTGGTTTTTTAGATACTGTTTCCTGGAACAAAACATTCAACTTCAGACCAACTCACCTGGACCTTTAGTAAATTACTGATCCACAGGACTCTGAAGTCTGCCTACTGGTTTGGAAATAGCTGCAAAATGTTTCTGTCAGTTGGTCCTTTGCTTTGAGTGTCCTAAGAACATGTATTATACTCGACCCTTTTGGAAGAATTTTCATACTAGTTTTCAGCTATCAAATAATAAGCCGCCTAGGCATAGGCACTGGGATAACAAAATGAAACTGGGAACTATGAGGCTTTCAGATCTTTGGGACATCAGTGGCATACTAAGTGTTCATTAATAACAACTTATCTCCCAGAAAGCTTTCTACTTTCTGACCAAAATGAAACAAACTCAAGTCACTTTTCGAAGGCTAGGAAAAAGTTATTTCCAGCAAGACACCAAAAATATGCAGTGTCTGATTTACTAAGCACAGTTAATCCTGACTCAAGGGTAGCCTTTTATTACATATCAGCCATGTTTTAGTTTTAACTCTTTCCATTAATTCCAGGGTTTTCCAACTAGTTGATCTGTTAAAATTTGAGGACCTTGGCTTTAGGCTTTCTGTAATGAAACAACTCCTTAACTAAGCACAGGAAGTTGATTAGCAAATACACCCACTTTGAACACAGAGTAATAAGGCCAATGGTCAGTCTCTCTAAAGCACAACAAATGTGAGATGTGTGTTTCACAGGTTTATCTTCTCTTTTCAATCCTTACACAGACTCTTCCAGAAAGGGCAAATATTACTTTTTCTAAACATGGAGAGATGAGGCCCAGAGTATTTAAATGCCTTGTTTGTGGGGCAGAGAGCTGGTTAGTGCCAGAGAATACACACTGAATTGACAATTACTCAGCAAATTTTTCTTAAAATGGCCAGAAAATCAGTATTTCAGGCTTTGAGGGACCAAAACCTATTATGTAGGTACTTCTATAACCATTTAAAATGTAACTTAAAAAATGTAAACCACATTCTTAGTCTGCAGACAGTGAACAGGCATCTGGCAAGCAAGGGCTGGTAATCCCTGCTTTACATGAATGGCCTTACTTACTGAGATGGCTACTAAACACTACTCAAAAATTTTTTGCAATAATTAACTTTAATAATTTTTGTTACTTATTTTTAAAAATGTGATAAAATACACATACAGTTTACCATTTTTAAGTGTACAGTTCGGTAGCATTAAGTACACTGGCATTGCTGTGCTACCATCACCACCATCCATCCCGAGAGAACCCTTTTCATCTACTAAAACTGGAACTTTGTACCCAATTAAACAATAATTTCCCACTGCTTCCCAGTCCTAGCCTAATGCCTAATTTAATTTTTATTATGTTGATACATCTTTGCTCACTTTTAATTTTTATTTTTATCAAAGTAGCCTACATACATAATTTTTAAAATCAAGATAGTATTCATAGATTTTAGTGATACACAAAAGTCTGGTGCAATCCCCATCCTCACCCTAATTCCCAGTTCCCAAAGGCAATTAACTTTAATTCTTTGCTCTTTACTTTCACGTTTCTTTCAATGAACATTATCCTGCTATATCTGCATTTTTCAAACTTAGATATTGTCTATTGACTTCCTACTAGGAAAACTGTGTTAAGTCTTACAACAATTATACAAAATGTGCTTATGGCAGAAAGGAAGTCAGTTGATTTATATAGGTTATCTCATTTACAAGTCTATGAAGAGAATGGAGGTCACCCTTGTTTTATAGACAAACTGAAATTCAGACAAGTTGCTGTCTTGTTCACACAGCTTTTTAGTAATCTAGTGCTTGTCAAACCCAGTTTGATCCAAAGCCCACTGTCTTTCTCATCATAACACATTGCCTCCAGGATAGAGAAAAGAGAAATCAGGGAAATTTCTTGAAACTGGTAATAAACAGCTGAGTTAGGGCTTAAGGAGGGATTGGATTTCAAATTTATCAGTTTGGCCATATGAATAAGGAAAGTATGGGAGAAAAGTTTGGAAAGACAGGATCACAGCATGAAAGACTAGGTGAGAAGTTTAAATTTAGGTTGAAAGGCAGTGTGTCATCAAAGGTTTTTGGACAGGAGTATTCAAATTAAAACCATCCTTGAGTAATATTAACCTAGAAACAAGTAGATAAAATGGAATTAAGGTAGAAGCCTAAAATCAAAAATGGTCAATGAAAAATACTGTTGAAGTTAAGGGTGTGTGATAAAGGTCTGAACTCAGGTGAAAGGTGATGAACTTCACAAATGATGAAATGAGAGCATGGTGAGAGAAAGGTAGAAATCAAGGTGACTGGGTCACTTAGAAGGCTGTTTCCTATTTCCTTGTTTTTTCTTTGTTTTGTTACATAGTGGAAGCAATGTGTGACTTTGAACAGCACAGCAGCTACCTTTGCTGGGCTTCCCTCACCACTGCCCCCCATCCATCTTTTTCCCTTGCGATCCCAGTTCTTCTATGCAAGACTAAATGCACTAATATATCTCGGTTGTTTCTGACTCCCCACAATACTGTGTCCTTTTAGGACTATTTTCCAGCAGATTCTTAGTCTTTTTGGTGGCTGCTTTTCTGTGGGTGGTAGGGAGTATCCCAGGCCCCTTTGAAAATCTTATGGACGTTTCAGAGGGTTTATCAATCCTGAGTGAAAACCTCCTGGTATACACGCTATACTCAGAAGAAAGGTGAAAGTTTAACTCTGGAAGTGACAATAAACAATTTAAGGCTTATAAGTAAATGGAAATGCTCGTCTTTAGAAGGTAAGAATTAACTGATGTCCAGTTAAGCCAAATTCTTTACAATGGCCTACAAAGCTCTATCTTTTCCATGATTTGGTCCCTTGCCACTTTTATGACTCCAGATTCTAGTACTCTTCCCACTGTCTTCGAACTCCCACTCAGGGCCTCTGTTCTTGCTGTTACCTTTATCTAAATCACTTCCTCTAGACATCCAACTCACAAGCTCCCTCATCCGTCTTTGTTCAAAATATCACCTCCTTGAAGCCTATCTCAAACACCTTGTACATGTGATTTTGCATGTATGCCTTAGTTTGCTGTAGAATAAACTGCTAAATGAGAGACTGCTTGAGCAGAAGGATTTACATAAAATATTAATAACGCCAAATCGCCTTTCAAAGTATTTGCTTACCTTTTGCCAATATGTGTCATGTACTTGTGTGTCATGTACTATCACTTTAAGCCAGTTGGTGAAAAATATATCAATGTTTTATTTTGTTTTTTTTTTTTCCTGGTTGCCTGGAGATTGAGCAACTTCTGCTGTTTAAGAGTCATTTGTATTTTCTTCTTAAATGTTTTGTCATATTCTTACTCCATTTTTGGGGGGTTATTGGTGTAAATGATTTGTTGAAATGTTTTATACACTATGACAATTAGTTCTTTGCATGTTATATACGTTACATGCATTTTTATTTACTGGAAGAATGTTGATGCCAGCAATAGAAATAAAGTTATCAAGAGACTCCTTTTGGCATATAAAATTTAATTTTGAAGGTCTGGCATTCATGGATAAATAATACCTTTTAACAATAACCCTGATCATAATTGCTTAATTTGATAAACTGGATTTGTGTATCTTTTTACTTTTACTTAGTTTTCTTTTATAAGATGACTGAGACTTCTTTATGGAAGGAATAGGATTAGCAGGTCAGGGATTTTCTGCAAGTGGGAAGGGAGCACCCATGTCCTAGTTTATGAGGCCTTGTTTTCTGCAGATAAGTGACCAGGCCTCTTAAATATTCCTAAGGATGATAAAACTACAGCTGGTCTTGTTCTGGTAGAACACTGGTAATTATTAAACATTTTCATATGCCCATGGAAATCGAATAATGACATTTCACACCCTCAGAAAAAAATATTTATATAGTTTGTTAAGTAAGCATTAGGCCTGAACTAAAATCACATCATCAGAATTATTACTTTAAAAATTAACTCCTTTTTGCTTAAATTTTTTGGTTAAAATGGACAGCTATCCATTTTCTTATGTAATTTTCCTAATGACTTTTCTTTCTATTAAAGTAGCTGTATACCTGAGTCATACTGCTTTCATTCTAAACTTTAAAAAAAAAAAAAAAAAAAAAATCTATTTTTTTAAGAATACATTGAGGATTGGAAAGATTTTAGGTCAGTAGGAATTAGCCATTCCCTGAATGAAAACTTTATTCTTCAACAGTTTATGCTGGCTCTAGACTAAGAGTGCCTAAATTCTTTTCCAAATCCAGAAGTAGAAGTTATATTTGTATTCCTGCTATACAAAATTCATAATTCTGTGCTTCGTCTTAAGTTTATTTCAAACCAGAAATCAATAAGACACTGAATTGCTTTTGTTAGGCTGATTTTGATGTGCTGAGCCGGGAACTGTGAAGCTGGAATTCTGAGTCAGGAGATTATTTACTTCCTCTGTGTTCCACAACTGCAATGGAAACTGCAATCGACTTGCCACCTGACACAGAATTAATGGATATTCTTTTTTGCTTTTTTCTCTGCTGAGCCAAGGACTTTCTGTTCCATAACTTATGTTGGAAATGTCCCAGGCTGTGTCATAAATGCTATATACTGCAAAAAATTCGTTGTCACAAAAAGCTAGGCTCTCATTTCTCTTGATGATATTGAGTGTTCAGCCTTTTCCTTTCTGTCTTTTAAATATGCATAATGTCTTAAATTAGGTAATTCAGAACATTCTTATATCTAGGACTGCCCTTAATACAAGAAATGCCACAATGGCTTACCCTTAGAAAACGGAATGGTGGAGATTGAGCTGGAACTTCAGTGCCCATCCACTGGGGTAGAAGCAGCTCCCACTCAGCTCCAGCCATTTGCCACCATGCAATGTGAGCTTGGTGTTTTCCATTTATTCAAAAGAAGCTGGAATTCCAGATTTTTGTGTGAAATCTAGTTTTTAAATATTAATTTGATCTTTTTAAACATAGTTTGGGCCAATTAAACTCTTCCTAGCTGAGTGCCACCCTTGTGCTGCCAATTAAAGTTTTAAATTCTTTTGTCTGACCCTATAGACTGTCAATGTGAAAGTATTTTTGGGTTTTTAATAAGGTATTTCTATGCCAAAGTAACATTTTCATGGACATAACAGGTATTTGCCATCTTATTCTACCTAGGAGCTATTTGTAAACATACCCAAATGCACTACTAGAAGTTTTGTGATCTCTTAGGAATAAAATTCCAAATGCTATCTATTTTCAATACAGAAAAAGCCACTTACTCTCATATATGTCAGGAATACTGACCTACTATGGAGACTTCTCATTTCTTTTTAGTAAAAATGAAGCAAAAATGCTACCTGATATAAATGATAGAGGACTTACTAAAAAACAGAATTATTTAATCAAGTGTCTAATACATAATAAAGCAATCAAATACTTTTCAGAGGCAGGCATATGGAACATATGCAGTTGAATTAAACCATTTAAAACAGAAATATGATGAAAAATTTGGAGCTGTCTCTAGTTATATGACATTTTGAAAAAGCTTGTCTTAATAGTGTGCTCACCTATAAAATTGGGGTGTGATTATCACTTCATAGAATTTTAAATGAAATAAGTTATATTAAGTGCTTATTGCTGGAAGTATAATCATAACTCAGTGAATATTAATTTTCTTTCCATTTTAGAGGAGAATTTGATATTTGATCTTCACCCAGATCGTTTTGGTTCAATTCTTAGAGCTCTGATTCTTCTTTTCAAAACTGAATGATATTAGTTTACTTACATTCATTCATAACAGTATTATTCACAGTAGCCAAAGGGGAAGCAACCCAAGTGTCCATAGAGACACAGAGAAACAAAATGCACCTATATATACAACAGAGTACTATTCAGTCTTAGAAAGAAAAGAAACTGTGATACATGCTACAACATGGATAAACCTTGGGGACATTATACTAAATGAAATAAGCTGGTCACAAAAAGACAAAGACTCTATGATTCCACTTACATGAGATACCTAAAGTAGTCAATTTCATAGAGAGAGAAAGCAGAATGGTGGTTGCCAGGGGCTGAAGGAAGCAAGAAATGCAACATTGTTTAAATGGGTAGAGTTTCAGTTTTGCAAGATGAAGAAAAGTTCTAGAGATTAGTTGTCTAACAATGTAAATATACTTGATATTACTGAACTATACACCTAAAAACGATTCAAATGGTCAATTTTATATTATGTGTAGTTTACTCCCCCCCCAAAAATCAAAAACAAAACCAAAACAACCACAAAGTTTCAGAGAACACTAGATTATAATGCAAAACAAAACAAAAAAATTATAGTTTCCTTTGAAAACTATGGATGAAAAGCATATTTCAAGTGTATTAAGAGAAAGCTCTCCAACAGTACCTGTACATTTATACAACATGCCCGTCATAGTTCCAGCTGCTACTGTATTGAGGTCATCTTCAGCACCTCGTGTTTTCTCAATGATGACACCAAATGCACTATAGAGTAAAGCTACAGGGGAAATGGAACTGATCAGTAATAAAAAAGTGACTGAAAGTCAGTATGACAATTATATTTAGATAAATGTATCCTACAGACATGACTCTGTAAGTATTCAAAGATATATAAAGAATGATCACTCAAACATTGTTTGTGATAGCAAAAGCCTGGCAACAAATAAATGCCCATCAAAGGGGGACTGATGCAGAAACGGACTTTCCATATAATGGAATACTATATACTCACTTAAAATAAAAAAGAGTAAGAGCTACATTCACTAATATGTAGCAGGCAGATGTGTACAACCCTTGATATGTAAAAAAGATGTTTGGAAAGATTCAGAAGAAATAAATAGTAGGAAGTACCACTGGGGAGTCCCAGGAAGAATCTTAATTTTCACTTTTATTTATAATAGCTGTACTTTGGATTTAGAAACAAAAACAAAACACATCTACTTCTATTTTAAGAAAAATACAACAAAGAAAGGTGAGTTTTGGCCTTTGCACATGTAAATACTATAACACTGGCACTACTGGCACTATTTAGTTTTAACAAGATCTTCCTCCAACCCACCCTTCTTCTCCTATGCCTATAAAGATTCCTACCAGCCATGAATGCATTATTTTTCCTTACCCTTTCTGAAAATTGCCACATTTGACCCCTAAACATTATACAAAGCTCTCGGTCTTATAACTCCTTTTACAAAGGTTCTTGTTTCAACTTATTTAACTGAAACTGAACTTGAGCAGAACACTATGATTAATAATATTACAAAGGGAACACACAGGGTGATTGGCCATCCCTATCTGCTCAGGACTGAGGGTTTCCTGGAACATAGGACCTACAGTGCTAAAACTAAGTCCTGGGCAGAATAGAATGGCTGATCACTCTAGATATATAAGCAATCAAACAGGAACAAAGGAAGGGGACTGTGTATGGGGGTGGAGGCAACTGGAGCATGAGTGGCATATGGAAGCAGCCATTTAGTAGGATCCCAAATATGAGTCTGACTTTACAGAGTGAAAATGTACTACTTCCAAATCCCATGAGAAGGCTGGGCGCTTATTGTATCAACATGGGCTTTTTCTATTTTTCAGTAATAGCAAAAGCCTGGCAACAAATAAATGCCCATCAAAATGCCTATCCCTTACTTAATCTGCCACATTTAAATGATTTTCAGACTTTCGACTAAGTTATAAAGAAAACCTTGGATGTTAGGTCCTAAGTGCCTCGAGCAGGTTTAAGTCTTGTACTCAAGACTTAAAAATTGAGTCAATCATTCATAAACAATATACTATAAAAGCATTTGGCCCTGACTAACTACTACTAAATCACCCCTTGCTTAGAACTGCAAATGTTTTCATTATCTACAAAGGCCCTACTGCAACTCTGGAAATTAAGTCTAGGAATCTACTCAGATAAACAGAATGATGAATGGGCTATTAGAAAAACATAGCAAGATGGCTAGATTAACCTATCATATCTAACTACAGGACCTTGACCCTTTCTAACATACAAAGCCATTTGCTTTGGACCTAAATTATTTGAATTTCATTTAGTTAAAACATAATTTTATTTGGTATCTTGCTTGGGCAGAAGAATATATAGTATTTAAAAATATTTAAAACATTCAGAAATAGTACTCAAGATGGTATTAGCATCTGGCATTATTTTGTTGTGTAGTTTATGATCTTAAGTAGCATCTGCACTACTCAAGTGGACCAGAATTTTGGTTGATCAAATTATTCATGTTATGTGTACATTCTTTCTCTGCATTAATAATTTATTATCAAGTGAAATCTCAACTTACCCAGAGAACCTAGAGTATTAGCCCAAAGTGCCCCTTGCCTGGTCACCATGTTCAAAATCCTACAAGGGCAGAAAAAGAAAAAAATCCGTATTTAGAATCGATATTTCTCCAGTAATTTGAAAAACCATAATTGCAGCTATTTAAAAAATATAAACCCAATACCCAAAAGTTCCTTAATTAAAAAACTTAATACGTCTTCCGAATTCAGTAAGTCTGGCTTTTATTTTATAGAAAAATAAATGAAGGTAGGTTGAAATCTCCAACCTTTTTGGGAAATGAGTAAAATTCTTGTATATATACAATTATTAAATACATATCAACCATATAAAGGTTTTGAATGACAGCTTGCAATGTATTTTATAAAGTTCACAGAAATTGATCTGTGTAAAAAAAGTCATTATAACCAATGAACTAGCTTACAATTATTAAGTTCTATTTTTTGGGGGGGGGAGTATATATTTAGAATAATAAGTAGATTTAAAGTATGGAATATTAGAGAATATAAAGTAGCATTAAAGATAAATACTCAAAGAGAGGAAAAAAGCAAACTAGAATACACAGAAAAAGCATACTCTGTGTCCACTTCTAGACTAGAACTAAGCAGCCAAAGTGAATGCTTAGCATACTCTCAAGGAAGCACAGTTCTGCCTTGCACCAGTGTCAGACGCCACCAGAACAGTGACAGAGACAACTGGAAGAAGACAGGACATTCCTCTTCCAGCAGTGTAACACCATCACAGGAATGGTTCTGTCCAGACGGCTGACTACTGCTGGAGATTATAGAATTACAGTAACAAAGAGAAAAAGAACTCATTTAATTCATTTAAATTAATGCTCAATAATAAAAATTTGTATTACCTCTAAAAGGTTGTTTATGAAGTTTATTGTTTTTAATTATGTTACGTATTTACTATGTTAAGTTTAACACATTGTTTTTACATTTTCAACAAGCTTTTAAAACTAATTTTCATTCTTGTATTGTTGATAGCACTGTATATCGGTAAAATTCTTTATGATGCAACATACCTCTATTTACTAGGCCTTTAACTACTTCTCACTTTAATCATCTCTCAACAACCTTGAAAGGCAGAGAGTATAGAAAGCTTACCCAAGATCAAAACCAGTAAGTAATAAAACTAAGCTTTAAAGTTATATAGATCTGTCTGGCCCCAAACCCTATCTTCTTTCCATTTTTAAATGTTGTCTTCCTATCTACGAAGATCAGAATCATTGTATATAAAAAAAAATAACATATAAGATTTTTAAAAAATGTAAACCAATTTCACTCTCCTAAAAATTAATAACTATTACTGTTTTAGTAAACAAAGGTTATCTTTTTTAGGAGACCTTCCACAATTTCAAATTGGTATTTAAAGATATAACATTGAGGACTTGTTTCAGAATAATATGGAAGGGAGGAAGGAGATGGGACACAATTGATTTTGGTTGATAGATGCTGATGATGGGTTATGGTTCATAGGTGTTCGCTGTACTATTTTGTCTATTTTTGTTTATATTAAAAATTCTCCATAATACAAAAAGTAAAAAAATTACTACAGGAAGGGAAAAATACTAAGAACATAAATGTAAGAATACTCAAGGATCTGGGCTAGTAAAGCAAGCTCTTTCACATAGTGACAATATGGAAAACTTAACATTGCCTTCAGGATTCCCAAGGTCTAATTTTAGCACACCTGCTGCCATCTGCTGGTTAAACAACAAACAATGAAGATGTAGTTTAAAGTGTCCTAAAACAAAATCATGAGCCATCAAAGACGTACCATAATTCCACTCACATGAAGTATAAAAACCTGCGAAACTAAATAACGTATTACTAAGAGCATACCAACAGGAACTGATCATGTTTATTTCTTAAGCAGGGTGAAGATATGCGTTATATACACTTTCTGGCCTTTTTAATTATACTTTCTCTTCTCTGCAAATCAATTTCCTCGAAGACTGTCTTACTCTTTTTGAAACAATCTCTAAGTTCTAGGAGTTTCATTTAAACTTTCTGCAGGTTTCCATTTCAGAAATGGAGAGTAAAGTTAAGTTCAAGTCAAAAGTCAAATAATAGCAGATGTGGCAATCACTCTTATGTACTTATTTCTTCACTACCATTTCCTATGGCATGCTCCTGAACAATCCGAATAATGTATTTGCCTGAGAATGGGAAAGCTGAGAAATTAGATTGGGGTAGCACCAGCTGACTGAAGGACACCAACTCAAAAGTCACTCCATTCAAATACTTAAGACTCAGTAACCTGATTCTTTCATTCCTTTTATTTTGAATAAAAAAATAATAAAATGACCAAAAAGTATATCAGTACTCTAAATATTTAAAATCTCAAGGCTGTTCTCATCAAGCCAACAGAGGAGAAGTTAATATTCAAACATCACTACATCAGATGATTACATGAGACTTACTGTACGTTTCTTGGTTTGGACCAGGCCATGTTCTGAGTTTCCTTCAATCCTAGCCGTAGACCGTTCATTGCCCCAAATGCAGCCCCTAGTAAATCATAGTAACAATTCATCCAAATAATACAGCTTTATATTAAAAAACAACTGTGCTTCTGATTCTTTTTTATTCTTATTTAATAAAAAAATATGAAAAATGTTAATAATTCTTAAAACAACACTGAAAGCAATATTCAAATTGCTTTTGATTTTAAGCATCTTTGACTCCTTGGATTGAGGACACTTAAAAAAAAAAAGTATTATGCCCACCTGTCATACAACATCCTCCAATGGTAAAGAAGGCCAGTTCAAATCTGCCCCGAGTTTTATTAGCTCCAGTTGGTAAAATAAACTCATCTGTATCCTAAAGGGATAAAAATGAAAACCATGCTGAGCTTCTCTCAAGACAGAGTACTTTCAAGTTTTTTAATTTGTTGAAGTAATTTTTCTCAGGAAGTAAAACTAAAAGTCAACTATGCTCAAATAAAACTTTCTGCAACAATAGCAACACCTAAGTCAAAGTGAAATGAAATATATAACATATATTGTTATGCTCATTAGTTGTTAGGACAAATTAGTTAAGGAGGGATTCTTGCTCAGAACTGTGCTTTTCAATGTAAGTTTGACAGAGTGTACATAATTTGCCTTATTTAATGATAAATTTGAAGCAACAGTGCAACAGAGTTTAGGAAGAACAGCTCTAGAGAAAAGTAAACTGAAAGCTATGAGAAGTAGTTGATAGAATCAAAGTCTGGAAAGAAAAAATAACTTTCATTCTGTAGCTACTATTTATAAGCACAATTTTAATATGTGTAAGACCAAATGTTCATAAAAAAAACTATAAAAACACAGCAGCTTGGATCAGTTATGCAAGAGCAAAATTATCTTAATAATTATTCCTTTGTTAATCTTAGACAGCTATAAACCCTCTTTCCAGTAAATGCATACACAAAATTTGGTATGAACCCCTTGAAGCTCACCTAAGAATCCTAGGTTGAAAAATGCCACTATAAGCACAATATGATTAATATACAATTTAAAATTTATGAATTTTCCATTTTATATTTTCAGAGCATGGTTGACCATGTGTAACTGAAACGACCCAAAGCAAAACCATGGGTAAGGGTGGGGTGACTGTATAGTTTCAGTTATATGGGGTTATGGATATAGTAGAGTTATGGATATAGCAGGTGGTAATGGCTGTACAATATTACAAATGTATTTAGTAACACTGAATAGTACACTTAAAAAGATTTAAGATGTTAAATTTTACATTAGTGTATTTTATCATAATTTTAGAAAATGGAAAAGAACCAAACACCCAAACTCTTTAAAGGGATTTAATCAACTAGTGTTAGGGAGAAATGCAAGCCAAATCGCCACAGTTTATGAGAAAAAAAGGGTAAACAGATATGAGAAACTTGGTGCCTCCAAAAGTATCTGGCATTTAAAATTTTTTTAATGGGAAAAAAAGCACTTCACCAGTAAAATTATAAAAGGCCTAGTCTTGATCTTACCTGCACAAGATATCGTGGATCAACATTTAAATAAGGTGACAGAGGGTTCATACCAGTCACTAGAGAGAAAACAAAGCATCATATTACAACAAAAATGTTAAAGTTATTTTATTTCATGTTAATTCTGCTTTTGTTTTACATGTCTTGAAATTTTGATTTACAGGCTTACTGAATGTGAAATTTTCCCCCACTTTTCCATATTTTCCTTCTTATCTGGCAATTCTGGGGTTCTTCCTCCTGGGGTCCTCGATCCCAAACCAGGTCTTACACTGGTGGCTGAGGATCTCATGCAAAGATGGTATTGGCAGTAACATGGATCAAATAATCAATGGAGCAGGAGGCATAGCCTAGGTCTATTATAAAGCTAATTTCTTTCTACTTTGCTAAAAGAGCTTGACAACTGTACAAAGACTGACAAGAAACCAATGAATTTCAAAAAAAATACAGTGTTTGGGTTATGTGTTGTATGTAAATATTTTATGGCAGTTCTTTCAGATCTTAGTGTTAACAGTTGCTGACAAAGTTGATTTACCATGGCAGTGTAGAGAATTCTTTGGTCATCACCATAGGGATGGAGGTCGGGGCAAAAGAAAATGGAAACTCATGAGGGCCAGATTCGAATCCCATTAACTTTGAAATTAGAAAACTCTATCAAAGAAAATCAACTTTCTCACATTTAAAATTTAATCTTGGGATCCTTCTTTATCTCAGTTGTTTGCAAATCTATGCATTACCTATGGCTGGTCTTTTCATCAACTGAAAAGTCCTATTAGTTCTATATTCAACAGCTACTTTGTACTGTTACTTATCACTTTTATTGCTACCATCCTAGTCCAACCATTAAATCTCAACTAGACTACAGTAACAATGTCCTACCTAACTGGACTCCTCACTTGCCCTAGTCCCTTCAATTCACTTTCTACATAGCAACTAAAGTGACTTAAGAAAAGGAAACGAGCCTTAATAGCTGTCATTTACACTTATAATCGAATTCAAACTCCTTACTATGGCTTACAAAACAAATCAGCTACCATTCTTTGCCCTGCTGATCTCATTATCTCCTACCACTCCAAGTCCCTTGAAAGGCTACAGATACACTGACCAAACAGTTGTTCTTCAAACATGCCAAGTTGGCTTTTTTCCAAAGACATTTGTATTAGACATTTTCACTGGTATACTTGCCTCCTACCTGGCATTTGTAGTATATTCAGGTCACAGCTTAAATGCCAATACCCCTGAGTAGCTTTCCCTGACCTATTCTAAAATGGCTTTCTGCTCCCATCACCATCTCATGATCCTGTTTTATTGCCTATACACACTCATAACCAATTGAAATGTTTTTGTTACTTGGCTCACTTCAATAAGAAGTAAACTCTCATGAAAGCAGCAGCCATTTTTTTTTTTTTAATTGCTGTAGTCCTGCACCCAGAAAAGCCACTGGCCCATTATAGGTTCTCAATGGTGTTCACCCCTTGATCTCTCATTTTACCTTCAAATCTTAATCAAATTAATGTAACAATGCTTTGCCATATTAAGGCAGCTTCTAAGATTTGTAATAAACTGTGTTCTACGGTTTTTTTTGACACAGGTTACACTAGGAACTTAAAAGGGCTTTATTGTTGAGCATAAAGGACCTAGAGAAAGCACAGGAATTCTCAAAAAAGAAAATAGTTTTATACAGCACTTATTCTCCAATTTCCTACTATCTTTAAGTTCAAGTTCTATTCATCCAGTCGAAGACCCATAGTCTGAAAGATTCGGAATACATATTCATAGGATTGAGGAGAGGGCACAGATATGGTTTTCATGCTTCTGCATCCTCCATCTTGCACTATTTCCTAAAACTCTTTCTTCATGTCTGTGACCTTTAAAGTGCAGCTCACTTACCAGTTCCTCCAGCTGTCTCGACTCATATTGCTTTCTCGCCTACATAGGTTGAGTGTTTTGATCTGAAGGCTACTTCGTGATTTAGAATATACGACTTCGAGCTAAAATGTTTTCTATGGAATCGCTATTTGAAGTGCATTTACTTGCAGAGCTGGGTCCTCCTCTTAACCTAGCGCCCAGCACACAGGAATGTGTGAGGAGAAAGATAAGACACAAAGCTTGAATATAAAAGGAAGAAAACATGCAACATTTCCTGAGTCCAGGTCAACCAGAGAGGTTCTTGGGGATCCATGGCTTCAAAAACTCGTTTCAATCTTGACAATAGCAGTGCAGACACACTAACCCCACCACTGATACTGTAGGCTGTGAATGCCAGCCCCCTCCCACCACCAAAAAAAAGGAGGGGGTGGGGGGACAAGGCGCGCTGCACGTCTGGTGTAGTAGCAAGGAGCAGTAAGAAAAGTTCGCAAGCTAGGCCCGATACTTACGCGGGACGCCAGCCAAATCCGCGTGCGAGTAACCGGCTCCGCCGGCTCCGAAAAAGCCGGCCAGTCCTCCTGTGGTTTTGTTGCCGCTTCCCCCGCCGCCCTCCATGGTGTCGCAGCAAATTGCCCGTCAGCTTCTCACCGCCGTCTCAGGCCGGGGTCGTCTGTACCGCTATTGCTCCTTAGTAACAGCGGGTAGACGGGAATTACCACCGACTCTTTCACACGCTGACCTTCCGGGGGCCGGTGCCCGCTAAACCTCACACTTCCACTTTGCGACAGTGTACGGCCCCGGAAGCCGAAAGCGCCTGACGGCAGCTTTCCGGTGGTGGGAAAGTGAACCAAGCCAGAATCAGAGCGGCGCGTCGAGAGGCAGGCGGGTTACCTGTGGAAGAGGGAAGGCACTCGACTGGATAGGGCCTGGCTCGGGAGGGCGGCAGAGAAGCAACTGCAGAAGCAGGCAGCGGCAGAGAGGGAATGGTGCCCGGAGGCGCCGAGAAGGAGGCACAGTCCGTCCCTCAGGGTTAGTGAATGAGGCTCTCCGCCCGGGCCGGCCCGGGGACTGTTCGCTGCGGGTCCCAGCATGAATGCAGGCCCCGGCTGTGAGCCCTGCGCCAAGCGACCTCGCTGGGGTGCCTCTGCAACTTCTCCGCCGGCCGCCTCAGACGCCCGGAGCTTCCCCAGCAGGCAGAGACGCGTCCTCCATCCCAAGGACGCTCCGGTGCTGTTCAGGGTCTCACCCTCGTCAGGCTGCGTCCCGGGGCGGGCGGGACCGCACAGAGGCAGCACCACCTCGCTTGGTACGTGGGGGAAATAAAGGTCTTTGTCCTTCGCCTCGGCCTAAACCTCTTCTTGGTCTTTGAGAACTCGGGGACTCCAGTCGCCTTGTGGTCTAGTGTGCACCAGTCTAAGGTCCCCTTGCTGAGCAAGGCTATCAGTGGGGGAATGGGAACTGATTTTTCCCGTTGCGATTGATGGTGTGAGAAACCCTGATGAGCAGTCACTCACGGGAAGGAAAATGGCAGGAAATTCCACCTGTTTGCTTTCCTCGGGTTTGACTGAGAAATTATCGTAGCCGTTAACATAAGTCTGTGTATGTGAAGCTTCAGCCTCTAGATCGAAAGACAGATAAAAAGAAAGTCACAAATTTCCTCAATTCAGATTCCAGGTCCCTGGGTGCAAAGCTGTTAGTCTTCTCTGGCATTATACTTGACTCGCATACAGTGTCCAAGTAGAATAACTTGATCTCTGTTTTCATACCCTAAAATTTTTCAGGAGAGGTAGACAATCAGAAGAGGGTGATGGATGTTTTGATAGATGAGGGACAGATCGTTTTGGTGGGAGTCAGGAGTACCTAATGTAGTGGGATCAAAGGTAATCTAGAAGATGAGATGCTTAGTCTGAAGACTGAAGAATGATGAATTAACTAGATGAAGAGGAAGTAAGGAAGTGTTCCCACAGTGCAGCTGATTCATATTGTCAAGAGAGATAAGGGACTGAGAGAGGTAGGCAAAGATCAGATCATATTGGGACATGTAGGCAGTGCTTAGGGTTTTGAGCTTTAAGGGCAATGAAAAGCTATTAAAGGATTTTCTGTAAGGGGGTGACTTGATCAAATATATACATATATATATCTTTATCTTTTTTCAGGGGGGAAGAGGTGAATGTCCCTGTCACTGGTATGTGAAAAATGAAGAATGGATTGAAAGGGAACAGAAGTGCAGGCCCAAGACTTCTTAAGGA